AGGCAGAGGAGGATGGAAGTGGTGGTGCAGAAGAATTCACAGAGTTATTCGGCGGCAGAGAAGACGAAGATGACGCTGGCGGGGGGATGAAGTTTGGTGCAGTTCGAGAGGTACAGTTGATCCGAAGATGTCCAACAAGGCCGATTCGAGCCCGGAATGTCCGCTTACATCGAGGACACGTTGGAAGCAGTTGTGCGGCAGCATTGCTGATTGGGCGCAGTTGGGATTTGCGGGCTTCGCGTTTCGCTTTTGCGGCAGCGATGCGGTTGGCTTCGTGGATAGCAGCGCCCGTCCTCACTGTTCTCCTCCATGCCGGACGATCGCAGGCGAGCTCTTCCCAGTTGGTCGGGTTGATTTGCAGTAGCTTCAGGGAGGACTTCAGGGTATCCTTGTATCGACGAATTGGGCCTCCTTGACGACGAGAACCCGTCGCGACGTCTCCGTAGAAGAGTCGTTTGGGTAGCCGCTCGTCGTCCATTCGCACCAGGTGGCCGCTCCAGCGCAGCTGCATTTGTTTCAACATGGAGTAGATGCTGAGCATTCCCGTTCGTTCCAGCACATCAGTGTCGGGGATGCGATCCTGCCAGTTCAGCCGCAGGATGCGACGAAGACAACTGAGGTGGAAGTGGTTCAGACGGCGTGCCTGCCTCGTGTACACCGTCCAGGTCTCTGCTCCGTCCAGTAGCGTCGGCAGGATAACGGCCTTGTACATCTTCAGCTTCGTGTTCAGTTGAAGACCGTGACGATTCCAAACTGTGCTTTGGAGACGACCGAAGACTTGACTGGCTTTCGAGATCCTGTTGGCGACTTCGTCATCAATCTTGGTGTTGCGGGAGAGAGTACTGCCCAGGTACGGGAAGTTCTCCACCATTTGCAGTAGGGTCCCATTCACGCTGATTTGCGGCGACGCGTTGGGGGCTGTGGCTGAGTTGGGTGGCGGTTGGTGCATCACCACCGTCTTCTGCGTGTTAATGACCAGACCGAAGTTCTCGCAGGCGGCGGAGAATAGGTCCATGCTCCGTTGCATCTCCTCTTCTGAGGTGGTGTTCAGGGCGCAGTCGTCGGCGAAGAGGAGTTCGTGAACGGTTGTTGTGGATACGCGCGATTGGAAGTGCATCCGCCGTTGATTCAGCAGGTGACCGTCCGTCATGTAGGCGATGCGAATCCCGGGGCGTTCGTCGCGGTAGGCGTCCATCAGCATGGCAGAAAACATAAGACTGAAGAGGGTTGGTGCCAGCACGCATCCCTGCTTCACTCCGTTAGTCACTGCGAATGCCTCTGAGACAGCTCCGTTGTCCGTGACTCGCGCCATCATACTATCGTGCAGCTGACGCACCATCTGAGTGAATCGCTCCGGACAGCCGAATTTCTGCATGATCTTCCACAGTCCTTCACGATTCACCGTGTCGAAGGCTTTCGTCAGGTCGACGAAGGTAGAGTACAGGTGGGTCCGCATCTCCTGACACTTCTCCTGAAGTTGGCGGGCGGCGAAGATCATATCCGTGGTCCCACGATGACGACGGAAGCCGCATTGGCTTTCCGGCAGAAGGTTTTGTTCCAGATGATTATTGAGGCGGTTGAGAAGGATGCGAACGAAGATCTTCCCGGCGATGTTCAGCAAGGAGATGCCACGGTGATTGTCGCAGACTTGGCGATTCCCTTTTCGCTTGTATAGGTGCACGATTGTTGCGTCCTTGAAATCTTGCGGGACTTCACCTTGACGTCACATCTCCTGGAAGAGCGCAGTCAGGTGATCCATCAGTTGGGGACCTCCGTGCTTGTAGACCTCAGCAGGGATTGCGTCCGATCCGGGTGCTTTCCCGCTGGAGAGCTGCTGCACGACCCTGATGGTTTCCTGGAGAGATGGCGGGAGGTCTAGGTCCGCGTTGGTCTCGACTTGCGGCAAACGCGCGATGGCGGCGTCGGAGATGACGGAAGGGCGGTTGAGGACGCCTCGGAAGTGCTCGGCCCATCGCTGTAGGATTTGCGTCTTCTCAGTCAGGAGAGTGTTGCCGTCGGCGCTGAGGAGAGGAGCAGTGCCCTTCGTCGGCGGACCGTAGACAACTTTGATCGCAGAGAAGAAGTTCTTCCATTCGTTGCGGTCCGCGTAGCCTTGGATCTCCTCAGCTTTGCGAGCAGTCCAGGCGTCCTGCATCTCGCGCAGTCGTTGCTGAAGTTGGCGGCGACTGCGGTAGAAGGCAGCTCTGTTGTCCTCAGTGGGGTGATCTACGTAGGCTTTGTGTAGGCGGTTCTTCTCAGCAAGCAGATTTCTGATGGCGGCGTCGTTGTCGTCGAACCAGTC